GCATGGCTAACTCCCTTTGTGGCGATAATGGCAAACCATTTCTCAGAGTTGCTGCCATTTGTGGTCGCCAGGTACTGAAATATGTGTATTAGTTTCATTGTTGATTGAACAATTAGTCATTTGTGTGACATTGGTGGAAATCTTCATATTTTGTTTCTTATGAACGAGCAATTTCACTGCAGGGATTGCCAGTTAAACAACCAGATATAATAGTTTCGACGTCAGTTGCACTTCTGAATTTCATTTATGCAATCGACACAGAAAAATGTAGACGCTCTGATTTCATACGTGGTATTTTGTATTACAATGACAATATTTTACAGTTTAGTTTTGTCAATGGATCTCAAATCTGTATCCTAATTATCTAATTTCCATTCACTCTTAGGTTTTTGATGAAGCAGACTTGCTTCTCTGTTGAAGTTTTCAGAACCAAATAGTTCGTCGCATAAACATGCTTCGATTTGATGAGAAGCTGTTATCTCGCATGAGAAGTGCAAGTTCTGGTGAACAAGACTTGAATTCTGTTGCCCCAAAAGTCTCGGATACGGAAGATGAGGATTACCCGCAAGCAGACCTTAATGTGGAAGACGAGTAAGATACTGATGATAATTCTGATGTTGAGAATGTAGAAACCAAATCTGAATTTATAAACAAGAAAGACTGGAGGCTTAGAAAAATATATGAACGCAGTAAGCAACACATATTTGTTGCAGCAACGCTTCCTGTAAATGGAAAGAAAACTGCTGGAGGAGTATTGAAAAGAATGTTTCCTGATGCCAATTGGGTTAGCGGAAATTATCTCTATTGCCAAAATCCCAGGTGTCTGCCTTACTCTTGTTAATTTACTGTTAATTTAATTTTTTAGTTCCTTGATGGATAGGTAGTATATTTAATGTACCTCATAACAAATCATTCTCTCTCCCAAGTCTGCTTTTGACACACACTTAAAGGAGAACTCATAAATTATGGCCAGTAAATTATTCAAAATTTTAATTTGCTTAAGAATATGGTGAGCAGATTAGAAAATAACTGGATATTGCTTGTTGTAATTTATTCTCCTTTTTTTGCTCACCGTTGCACTTATTGCTATGTTCAATTTGAGAGCCACTTGAAATTGTTTTGGTTATTCTTAGTGATATGAATACAAAGTTCCAGTCCGTTAGTTTTATCTTTTCTGCTTGATCTGCCTGTTCATACTATCTGATAATTACATCTCATCGTGTAATGAATTGGATTCCTTATTATAATATTTCAGGTTGGAACAGAAGTGGACTGAAGTTACTACTGATAGTCAGGTGGATGCTCTCATAAATGCTGTTAATGGACTGAGCTCTTCAGTGGATTCTGGTTCTGGAATAGTTAGAACCATGGTGTATGCAAATACTGTTGAGGCTGTTGAAGCTGTTGCTAAGATCTTAACGGGAGCTGGAGTTAAATGTTTCCGCTTCCAATGTCTCTCCAGACGAGCGTACTAGGAATTTTGTTGATTTCCAGCAGAAAGGTGGAGTTTTCGTGTGCACAGATGCTGCTTCTCGTGGACTTGATATCCCACATATTTCACATATTATTCAGGTACTTCTCTTCTTGCTGGTTCAATTGTTTTGATCTTTGCGTTTCTGATTATAAAATAGGTGCACCTTCAATTTTACGAGTCTG